ACTCTGTTCATACTCATACATGCATTTTATTTCAGGTAGCTTATATTCCTGTTTATATGCTCTTTATTAACTCGTCTTTTTTGTAATGTTGATGGCAATTTATTGAACACTGATCAGATGCTGCTAAATTATAATAAAATGCTTTGTTTTGAGGATAAAAAATATATATATTTTTAACAAGTGCAGTTCCCATATGCCCCCTCACAGACACAAGCAATAGAGGTCATTGACTCCTTCTGTGTTGGCTTTCAGTCCATAGAGTGTTTGTTATTGTAATTATATATCCGGGTTTTTTTCCCATCATGCTTGTGTCATACTGTCCCAATACCTTTAATCCTCCTTGGTTCTGTTTAAGTTCTAAAAATGTTATTCAGTTTGATTCATGCAAATTGCAGCACTTTACTCGAAGTTTTTAGTTTAACTGATGTGACTCCGTTATAAGAGCTATAAAACGGATGGGTGTTTATTTTTTTTTTTTTTACTACAAATGTAAATTTGTTTATTCTTTTTACATTTTAAAACAGGTGTGCATTATTTTAATCTCGGATTTTGTAAAACCCAGAAACCAAAGGAACTAAATAATGTTAGTTACGTATAATTGCCACTAGATGGCGCCATTTCTCTGTTCATCCCATCAGTACCTGACTATGAAGCTCACAACGCTCTGAAAATGTGTGATCTTTGCAAACTCAACCCTAAATCTTTTAAGAAGGTACATACTTGTGACTACAAATATTTGTGTATAGCCATAAAGCTTGTGAAAACAATGCTTGTTTTTTTGTTTTTTTTTTATAAATCAGAAGTTATAAAATTCAAATATTTAGCTATCAAAAAGAGCTCCACTGCTTCTTGAATATTAATTCTTGAGCTTTCATGTTGGGTGGAGATGAATTGAGGGGGCACTGAAGAAAGAAAATCTAGCATTTGTTATGATATATCTATCTTAAGTTATTTTAATGCTTTTGTTAATGCGATCGTGACTATGTTGTCTAGATATGATGACTAAGGTCAAAAACAACTTGCATCTTTTGGACCTATGTAGATTCAACTTTATTGCTTCACTCGATTAAAACTGAATGAATCAACTAGTTTAATTGTGACAGCAAGTATCTTAAAATTGGAAATGAAGCATGAGGTCAAAAAGTTAAATTTAACTGCAAGAAAGGGTTGAGTTCATGTCAAGAAGATGTTCACGAAGTAATCAAAATTAATGCAAAATGAGCTAAATTAATTTTCCCAGCAAGATCTATTCCTCTGATCACACAAAACGTGCTCCTGGTTCATTCTGTATGTATTATACCCCTGGCACATAGGCACAGTCTCCTTACTACTATCCACTAAAGTTAATATGCATACCTGAATAAGTCAGTGTAACAATACCTCAGGGGATTCAATACACTCACACAACACAGGAGTCAGTCTACAGGTCCAGCCATGGACATCTCACATACAGTAGGAAGGGAGCACGTTTAGTAAACCACAGGTCACAGTTTTAACCTGTGCATGTTGCTTCACTACTGAGTTTGAGTTGATGAAGTTATTTTAAGGGAATTGATTGTGATGTATTGATATAACCAATTTGTTTTAAATGAACACAATATTGTAAACTGACGCCAAAGCCAAAGTATGGTGTGCAACAATGTCCACTACTGAATTACACTTGTGCTTGATAGTTTCCATTAAAACAATCAGCTGCCAGTAAAATAAATTGTTATTGACAAAAGTAATAATTAATAAAAATCATTAAAAAAAAATTAAAGTCATGACATTGATTTTTAATATATGCATATAATAAAAATATAAATAAAAGAAGTAAACAAGCCTGTTGGAGCTCCTGAACTTAAACTTTCTTGAGCAACTTGTTTGAGGCAATTATCACAATCAGGTGTTTTCTGTACTGTTCAGAAAACAATCAGTAAGACTTTTTCACCTATGGAATGGTGTTTTTTTTTTTTTATTACTTTAAAAAAATAAAATTTAAAAATCATTATTGTCTCCTACAAAATTGTCATTTGGTTCATTTTTTGATGTGCTATTACTTTTTCAGTTTTGTGCTATTTGAATTACTCTCGTGGATATTTCATTTTCTTTAATGCAAGGATACATAAACTTTCAAGCACAACTGTGTTTGAATGTTTTGTTAACTTACCTGCTCATGTTAAAAGGTCTGGTCTGGTTGGTCTTAAAAAATAAAAATAAAAACACCCACAAACCTTTGCACTGTAGTTTAGGTGTTTCTTTTCAGTACCATTTTCACCCCAGTAACTAATGAACAACTATAAAACAATTTTATTGTGTGGGTTACTTTATTGATTTGTTTGTGTTATTTAACATCATACAGAAAAAATGTTTTTCTGGTTGAATGCATTTCTTTATACATTTCTTTGTACTGAAGTAATCTGACATTTGTTTTATCAAGTCATGAAATAATCTAATTAAATCCATGTTAGGAGCATTTTGCTTTGTTATTGCATTCATGTCATTTCATTGTAAACTATATAATGTCTTGTACACACACATCTTGGCAGTCTTGCCATTTTTTCAGTTAATTATTTGGACTAACCTCTGGAATGTTTCCAAATGCCTTTCCCAGGAGACTGGCTGGCTTCATGACTGCGTCGTTGGCAAAAAATGTCCCCGGATGGATCATCAATGAGAGGTGTGCTAAAAAAAAACACCTAATGGATTGAAAAAATGCACCTCAACTTACTGAGGTAGCGCTGAGGTTTTTCATCCGGTTTACCAGGAGATTGAATCAAATGAGGTACTTTCTGAGGCTTCCACATCCCCACTTGGCTGTTTTCCTTCCTTTTTAGTTTTCTGGCATGAAAGCCCTTCCTAAGACCATCTTGATTTACATAAGGCCCACGGTTGGACATTCCTCTGTGGATAAACTTCCACCACAACCTTCTGGAAAGGTGAAAATAAAACAACAAATGCTAGCAAACACAAGCTGAGGGATAGATAAATATTTTGATTAAATCTGATTATCTTGGGTTAGTTTGGTTTTGTCTCTTTATTTGATTGAAATTACAAAATAGCTTTCGATAAGATTCTTCTAAGCACATTTGAATTACAGATTAAGTATTTACCTATACTTTTAAAGGACAGCCTTTGTAAGTTGGTAAATGGAATTTAATAAAATGTATTTAAGTGATGGTCAAAAATAAGGTTTGATATTAGTTTATCTCTTTTCTTATATCACAAAAACCTTGATCAAGTTTAAATATTTTGCCTGACTGTTCGGAATACAGATTGAAGTTAAATTTATATATTGTGCCTTAAGTTACAAATAACTTTCTTTTACTTTTTAACTTTTGCATCATAATGTAAAACAGGTGGAAATGGTTTTCAAGGCCTTTGAGAGATTGAAGTAATATCTTTATAGCCAGACTGTTTTGTTTTAAAGATGTTTTCTTAAGGTTACAAATAGCGTTTAAGAATCCTCTCTAACACTGACCTCGCTAATCACATCCGACTTTCTGTAAGTTTTTAATACACCTTTCTCAATTTCCAAAATTTGTATCTTTTTTTTTAAAAGGTAGAGGCAAATGCATGTATATATTTTTTAACCAGTCCAATTAATTTTTTTTTGTGTTTGACAAATTAAAAAAATTTCCATTCAGGTATAATTTAACAGCACCAGACCGACACAGTTTGATGAGAGTATTTAAAATGTAAAAGACTGATGTTGCAGCACAATAAGTTAGTCGATTGATGACGGTTTGTTACAAACTGTCAATCAATAGGAAGCAATACGGCAGAATTTCCTTTATTAAGTGAAAGGTTAAGGTGCTGACTCAGAATGGCATTTCGATATTTGCGGTTTTATGCAGTTAAAACACCATCAACTACACTGAGGAATAATGCCTGATAATAAAGAAATAAAGGGTTTCACAAAATCATTATGACTGTTTCTTTATGTTGGATATTAACCATATTTTATGTAGAAGATGGAAATTATTGGCTGTATGTTTCAAAAACAGCCAACCAACGATACACCCAGCTGTTGGAACATGGGGCTCACTTTGGTAAAGAAAAAAATGTAAAAAAGCAAAAAAAAACAAAAACATTAAAATCAAAGCTGTTTCATTCTGTGATAAATTTGAGATAAAATCTAACTGATTTTTCACTTTGTTTTTCATTAATAACCTAAAAAAAAAGTTTTTTTGTGTGTGATTCACACATTGATCACTACAAGATGGACTGGTTGACAGATCAGGAAACAACAAGCCTTTCCAGGAATCTTTTGGGGAAACATTTAACCAATTCTCAGCCTTGAAAGATCAACAGTAGGTTATAAAATGACAACACTAGGTGGTGCTGCAAATGTCTTCATGGAAAGATACTGAATCTACCTCACTGTTTAATCCAAAGCTAAAAAGTAAAGCAAACTAACTTAAACAAAGAAATAAAATATAGCTAAAGGCCCTGTTGTTGTTTTTTGTTCACTTTGTACATTTTAAGGAGGGAATTTTTTACACCTTATGAAGATATGCAGTGTTGATTTGATGAAATAAAAAAAAAGTTAAAATTTAGAAGTTATCATTAAAACTACATATCAGAGTAAATAAATACTAAAGCATTTAACCAAAAAATATGATGAAAACTGAACAAGGTAGAAATAATTCAAATTGGTTAAATGTATTTTGCACATTAACACTTTGTTTCACTCTAAAAAGATGATAATTTCACTAGTTGAATAGTGTTTTAAAATATTGTTATGTGTCTCTTCACTGTTTGTAACAGCCTTTGGGGAAATTAGATTAAAAGTATCAATTTAAAAGCCTATAATTTGTTTTTAGATATAGATATTTTTAACAGATTTCAGTAGCTTTTTTGCTTTTAAACACTAAAAGCCTCTGGTGTCTGACAACTGAATGCAATTAACTAAGACCTTGAAAATCTGTTGAGCACAAATAAAAAAAAAAAAAAAAAAAGAAAAACGGAAAAAAAAAAAAAAAAATCGTAATAACAGGAAATAACAGTAATTAAACAAATAGAAAACTTTAGCCATGATGCTACGAATAATTATTGGATAAACGCATAAGATAACTAGCTACAAGTTTTACGTTTTTATATTGAGCAAATTAACTGATTAAAACCAATAACATCCAGTTTTAATTACAATGTATAATCTTAATGAAAGCAAAATTCCAGTTTTCCCTTAAGATCTTTTTCTGATTTGACGTGGAAGTTACCCTCCTGCAAAAACCAATTGAACGCCATATAAATCTTAATTAATACAATGTTTCAAAATCACGAAAAAAAAAAAAACAATTTGTTTGCAATTTTAAAATGATTATATGCTAATTTTGGAGTCTTTTTTTCACCGGAAATTGATTTTATCGACTCAACAAAATTTTAAAAAAACTGAGTCGATAAAGCTGATTTTGATTTCATACTGACTTTATTGAGTGGCTCACATAAAAAGCCATTCTCAGCGAGAGAAAGAGAGCGAGAGAAAAAGAGGGGAAGTAAAATAATAAAAAAAAATCACTTTACAACATGCTTACTTAAATTAAACGAGCGGGTAAACAGCAAATTATGATTTTCAAACCATACAATCGAATTCAAAGTGCGCCTAATGAAAGACCCTCTAAATACAAACAAAACAAAAGACAAAGAAAAAAAAATTGTGGTTAAATATATCCCCCACCCCACCCCAACAAATACATTTCATACCAGGTCAAAAAAGATCAAAGTACATGTCCGTATATTTTTTTTTCTCAAATATTTACTAGAGTCCATATACAACTAGAAATACCTATACAAAAAAATCGTCTCCTGGACAAATAACATTGCTCACCTTTACATTTGGGCTGTAATTATTCTAACCTACATTTTTATACAGAACATTTCTGCTGCAGAGTAAAGTGAAAGTTACATTTTACTGGCCTAGAGCGCTGTGGACTGAACATGTTAAACAGAGAAAATAACCTTTTTTTTTTTTTTACTATGCAACACCAGAGCCAAATCATTGCGTTATTACGAAGCAGTAGAGAAAAAAGATAACTCTTTTTGCTCGATATTAAAGTGCCAGTGTTTGTTTTTTTTTTAGAACAGGTTTTGATAGAGGGAGCGCAGCTTCAGAGGCCCCTATATTCTTACAGTATGCTGAGATATAAAACAGGTTGTTTTCACTTTCACGCCTGCAGTCTCTAATTCGAAGTTTGTGATGGCACAGCTAGAACATTGTGGAAATGCAGATTTAAACACTTATTTGACAACAGCAGGATACAGCATACATTAAAGTATGTCCACTCGTTTGAATATTTTCTCTCCTTCTCCTTTTTTTTTTTTTTAAACTAGGTTTTTCAGAGGCCGTTCATGCCCACTCCCTGGGTGGGCTCAGGTGGGTGCAACAAGTCGGGGGAATGGCACGGAGGGCTCCCCGGCGCGCTGTGCTCACTATCGGTGTCGCTCCCCCTTTTCCCCCCGCTGCCCCCAGAGCCAGAGCCGGCGGAGCCCCCTGCGCTGTGAGTTTTTACGTGCTTGCTCAGGTGGTCGCTGCGCATGAACCTCTTGTTGCACACCGGACAGGCGAAGCGTTTCTCGCCAGTGTGTGTGCGCAAGTGCCGCTGGAGCTCGTCGGAGCGCGTAAACCTCTTGCCGCAGAACAGCCAGTTGCACACGAACGGCCTCTCCCCGGTGTGCCACCTCAGGTGCGCCTTCAGGTGCGACGTTTTGCCGTACACCTTCCCGCAGCCAGGTATGTGGCAGCTGTGCAGGCCTTTCCTGCGCAAACTGGCGCCCGCCGGTCCCAGTCTCTCCGCCTCTTGGCAGTTCGGACAGTCGCAGGTGGCCCTTCCTGAATACCTTCGAGCGGATGACCTCGGAGAGCCCGCTAAAGTTGCCGGGGGACCTCCGGTGAGCATAGTCCCTCCTGCTCCCGTTAGTGGCGAAGGGCTTGTGTCCGGATAAGAGGGTAAAACCGGCTTGAAACCGTCCATCAGGTGTTGGCCGGGCGTCAACAGGTGTGGAGAGGGGCTGGTGCTGAAAGCAGAGTGGCTCAAAGTGGAGTAATCAGAATTATATCCTCCAAGGGGAGAGTGTAAGGAGGTCTGCAGTCCACCGGAATGTAAGGACGATTGTAGTGCTGCTCCATTCGGGTTCTGAACATCAATCCACCCCGCTGCTCCCACATCCCACCAGGCAGAAGCTCCGGTGGTGCCGACCTCTCCTGCGGAGATCCCAGGGTGAGAGGACTTGAACCAGGACTCATACGGGTGCGCAACGCTCATCCTCGGATAGATGCCCTGCAAACTGTCCACCGAGGTGTGCACCTTGGAGATGAAGACCGGCTGATGGCTGGACTCTTGAGAGTTGCTCGAAGCTTGAAAAACAGAGTAGTCGTTTCCGAAATGAGAGCCAGACGTCGTCCCAGACGTGAGGGAGAAGGCACTGGATCCGTTGGAGCCGTTGTTGCCGAAAGAGTCCGAGGCTATGCCAGATCCGTTCCGGGACACTCCGAAGCTGGATAGGCCAGAGCCGAGGCTGCAGCTGCTGGCGGAGGCTCTCTTCCACGGATGGAAGCCCTTCCCAAAGGACGAGGAATTATCCGATATAGTGGAAGGTGAAGGGCTCGGACTCCCTATTTTGTTGCATGTTGCAGCCAACATGGCTAAAGGAGTCGATCCTAACCTCGGCTCCTCCTGGAAGCGCACAGACACAAACATATTTAGGTGCAAAGTTTCAAACTTTTAACAGGTTAAAAACACATTTTAAGGCACATTTTACAGAAAAAAAGAACTGCCCAGAATGTTTTAGCAGTTGTTTTAGGACAACTATCTACAAGTTTTCACCCATCACATCCTACCTGATCGAGCAAAACGTCAAAATGCAGACAAGTTCCAAACTAAAGACCTGCGAAAACATGCGTGTTTTTAAGCACTATAAAGCAAACTTCCACTTGCTGCTGACAGTAAAACCAACGGACTGGCTCTGCTGCAAAGTTTAATCCCCCTCCAAACGGCAGGACAATGACAAGAACTAATTAAAAGCAGAAAGAGAGTCTCTCTTTTCGACTCACCCCTAGAAGTGAAGTTGCCATCACACAAAAACACTGCCCTCCTCAGAGGATCTTTTTATATTTATGAATCAGGAGCCCTGCTTTTTTTTCTTCCTCTTCTTCTTCTTCAGTTTTTTTTTTTTTTTTTTTTTTTTTAGAGGTGTGCAATACAATGATGCGTTCCGCCCATTCTTCCTCAATTGTAGGCTCCTCTCCGGCTTTGAAGTGGCGCTGTGTGACACGGGCGACCAATCAGCTGCCCCCGTCCCCGCCGCACTGCCACACACTAACCGTGAGGTCATCGACAGAAGAAACCCCCTCCCTCCCCTACTCAGACAGATCTCCACCTTCCAACCCACCCCCTCCATAATAAAAGACAGCGGAAGGAAGGTAAAGTTAAATAAGAGTGAATTAGGAAGGAGGAATTTGGGGAGGGGGTGCGTTGATTTTTTTTTTTTTTTTTTTTTACAAAACACAACGCATAACATAAATCTCAGAAAGGAGGAGGGATGATCATGATATGGGGTCACATATGATTTTGGAGTAGTAGGCCACACTAAAGCTCAAACTGATACATTTACACTGTAAAAATGACTTTCCTAGGGTAGTTATAAAAGCAAAAAAAATCCTGCAGATTATTGGATGATGCCAAGAAGCTGTTGAATTTCAACAATTCTGAAAATCACAGAAATGTGTGTTTTTTTTGTTTGTTCTTTTAATCATTTATAGTGAACACAGCATTTTAATAGGGATATAATTGAAATGATACTGTTTATAATGAATTTAGGAAATTATCATTCATTATAATTATTGCAATTTCAACTATATATATCAATTTCTCCAAGTATTGTTAATTGTTGGATACATTCTAACAAGATTTGCCATTTTATTACAGATTCTACCTTTATATTTTAATTGGAATCTAACTGAAGATATATAGAGGTTAGATTTTAAGTCAGTCGTAAGAGGTGATAGAATGGTTATAGGGGTTTGTGTTTATTTCACCATGAATTATTATATTAGTGTAGTCAGTGTTATACAAATTAAAAGGGTTTAAGGCTGAGAGCATTTATGGAGCAACAATTTGTAAACCAGTTAAGACAATTTAATCTTTTACGAAGTTTAGCTATGGTGCTAATGCTAATACAAAATAAGTTTCTCAACTTTGAGCTAGTTCTTCCCACTGAAATTCATATCTCAAGCTGTCATTGATAGAAAAAGAGAGAATATATTGATTTCTTAGATTTTGAAAAAAAATTAATAAGCATTTTGACAACATTTAATTGCGTTAAGTGTAGTTTAAGGTTAGGGTTAGGGCTAAATTAATGTTTTATAACACGGGGAGTCCCTCTATAGCAGCACATCTTTGTGGCAGTCAGGAAAAGATGTAGGCTACATAGAGTTTTTTAAAAGACTTGGTAAAATTGTCTGTCTTAATGTGAAATAATTTCTTCTTTTTTTTATTACAAAGGATGACAATCCATATGGGTTATTTTAACCTGTTAAATGCATATAATGTCTATTAAGACAAATAAATTAACCCCTTCCCAAATAAAATGTTTGTAAATATGTACAACCAGTTTGTTTTATCAGTGTAGGAAAAAAGTAAAGATTTTTTTATAGTTTTACATTTTTATGATGATCCTGTGAGAAAAGTGAAAAAAAAAAAAAAAAAAAAAGAAAGACAAATTTTCAAAATAATAAAAAATTGGCCCAATTTGGTTTGCTTTTATTTGAGCGAGTGGAGAGTTTTCTTTACATTTTCTATTTCATTGTAATTTCATTTTAGCATCTTATATATCTTACAAGTATTTTGCCTCTATAAGGGGAATTAGCATGTTTTAACTTTTCAGGACTTAATATACACAGCCTATTACAGAGGATATAAAGGCTGCATTGTTCTGGCTATGCACTTATATTGCATCGTCTCAAACTTTCACTTTACTGTAATTGTGTCCAATTACCTTGACAGTTTTGATTAAAACTGATATAGACGCTGCATTCCGGGCTGATGCGCGCGTTTCTGTGTAGGGGGAGATTATTCATTTCATTATTAACCGTGTTCTTCTGAAACAGAGGATGGAGAAAATGAGAGGTCAGCATGGTTAACTTTAGGAGATTTACAGCTATTAGACTTGATCAATTTAGAAAATCTAAATTTTTTTTTCTTTCTTTTTTTTTTTTTACTCCAAAGGTTGTTTTCTTTTCATTTTTTGGGGGATTAGTAAAATTATTTGTGCCTAAAAAATAGCATAATCTTGCTGAAATGAATTGGTTCATCACTTGGTGACATTTAGTAAAAAGAGTCTTAATAAAACAATACTATCAGAATCCCTTGTTACATAATAAGAACTTGAAGGCAACGAGCTCTTAGGGCCATTAACATGCAGTGTGCGCTGGGGGCATAAATTTCATTTGAATTTCAAATTTAATAACGCGGGAGGTTTTTAATCATCCACAGTTTTATTTGTTTGATATTAACATGCTTATTGACCGGGTCTGTTGACCAGCTTGGTCATTACGGGACAGGGAAAAGTTAATTAAAACGACCAGGGATTATTCATCACATCATCTGCCCTAACCCGTGTCGCTTCCTTTATTGCGCGGCGTGATAGATGGACAGTCTGATTAATTCCTGTGTTTCTAGGACTGGACCACTTTCTGTGTAGGATTCACCCTGTCTTTCCTTCAGGTGAGGGGAAAAAAAGATGGGAGGAATGATAAAAATATTTTTTTTCTCCTCCAAGATAAAGCAGTGACTTTATTTTTATTTCTATTTTTTGCAAGATAATTGATAATTTTCCATAACGCGTCTTATTTAGTAGCACATTATTTTAAATATTTAAGATATTAACCAAAAAAGCGAACTTATTTACACATTTAGTCCATTATATAGGGTACTATATTTGAAAATGTAAAAACATAACTGTATGAACCTGCATTTTCTTGTTTTATATCAAACAATCAGATGCATAAAAATCAAGCTGTGATTAATTAAAGAATTTGACGGTTAGAAATGAAACTATACGTACCGCACTCCTCCGCTCCTTTGCAGCGCATTGATTGACCCTCTAGGTTGGCTTTCAGGCGGAGGAAAAAACACCAGCGTCTCCTTCTCACCGGTGAGATCGTGAAGCGGTGCCAGATAAATGTTACACTGGCAATTCAATTAGGAATAACTCGGTGGGGGGATCTTGAGCTGCATCTTTCCTCCTCATGTCAACTAAATTCAAATGACACAGTTTATATTCTAATATTTATTTAATCAATCATGCATCAACAACTCAATATTCTCACTGGTGCTCAATTTATTTTTACTTGATGATTTTTCCTCCTAATATTATATATAAAAAAAGAACAGCCGTTTCTAACCAGGCAATCTAGTGGTTTTGCACATTTGGAGAGCATCAGCTCACATGTTAGCCGCTGGTGACAAATTACCCCGCGATCTAACAAGCAAGACTAATGTCAGGGGTCACTGTGATAACCCCTGACAGGAAACATTGCTGTTGGAGCCACAGCGTTGCAAGATGTGTTCGGTCCATGCGCACATCAATGTGAGTTTATAATTTTATTCGTTCAAAATGCGTGCACAAAAGCTTGTCGTTTAGCCTGTTGCATTTCACAGGGAGTCGCTTTTACCGCTCATCTGTTGCGCACAGGTTGCTCGCTTTTTACGCGCACGGCTGTAACTGTAAGCCGCTCTTGAACAGATGTCCCCATTGAAGGGCTGTCTCCTTTTTGCGCGCATGCACAGGCTATATTACCATCATGAAATCAAACTCAAAACCTGTCCCCTTTGCAACCATAATGACCGAGTTATTCTGGGCCGCTGAGCACGAACAAAGTCTGTTCAATATTGCGTGCTGGAGAATCACTCCACAGCGAAAGAGAGAGGAGAGAAAGAATAATAAAAAAAGGAGTCAGGGCAAGGGATGAAGAACTGGCTATACCACTTTTTTTCTCATGCGGGGATTTTCAAACAAACTGCATAGTCTGAAGGTCTGTCTGAGTTGTTCTTTCTTTTGCAGGGTGAAAAGGTTATCATTTTTAACTGACAGACTATAGATAGATAGATAGATAGATAGATAGATAGATAGATAGATAGATAGATAGATAGATAGATAGATAGATAGATAGATAGATAGATAGATCATTGTGGAAACTGGAATGATGCTGCCATTACCATGCTTCACAATGGAGGTGGTGGATAGTAGTGTGGGTTTTATATCAATTATATAAATTTAATTGTAGCCTGAAAATATACTATGGTTTTAATCTGATCTTGCAAACTTCATTTGCTACAAAAAAATCAGCTTAGATTACTTACCAATGTTAAATAACACTGAGGCGGATTCTGTTTACTACTGGGTTTAATTTAGGGATATTCCAGTAAAGTTTGGGCAAAAAACTCAGACTTTATTTGAAAGCAGAATTTGACAATTAAATATCCCTTCCTACTACTTAACAGTTATGCTCTAGTTTGTGCTGATCTATCATATCAAATTATAATGGGATACATGCAAAAATGGGGTTTTGATGTGAGAAAATCTGACCAAATTTTAGGGGTATTTATATTTTTCAAGCTAAAGAGGATAGATAGAGTGGAACAGGGTCTGCATGTTGTTGTTTTCTCCTTTCACCAGGAGGTTGCAGAGAGCAGATGTCCGTCTGCAGAGCGGCTGCCAAGTGGGTCCGGAGGAGCAAGGCAGCCGCAGACACAAGAGCCCAAATGGTGTGACAAAAGATGTGCAGGAAGCCCCTCTCTCCGCCTGGGTGAGCCACAGAAAGGGTCTCCCTCTCTGCCAGCCTGTTGGGCCATCTCACCACACAAGCCAGCCATGAGTGGTAACTGCAGAGCCATGTGGTACAGGCCATGGGGTTCCTTGTGTTGTGTTCACGCAAGCATACTGTAGGTACACATGCATTCACAGGAATGTACACTTACAGTCGAGATAGAACCATCTGTATGTTTATCTGTATGTGATTCTGTCTGTGTTTGGGTGCCCATGAGG